AGAAAAGAAGAAGAAGAAGAAGAAGAAGAAGAAGAAGAAGAAGAAGAAGAAGAAGAAGAAGAAGAAGAAGAAGAAGAAGAAGAAGAAGAAGAAGACAGAGAAAGAAGAGAGAACCAAGAAGAAACTTCTGTAGATCTCCTTCAAGGACATGCTCCCAATGACTTAGCTTCCTCCCACTAGGCACCATCTTCTAAAGCTTTCATCATCACCCAGTAGCATTTCAGGTTGGGAACCAAGCTTTCAACACACAGGGCCTTGGGGAAACATTTAATCTCCAAACCATAGCAGGCCTTGAGAAATTTAACATGTAATAAACAACTGTATCACAATAGTGCAAAAGAAATCAGGACTAGTCAATTGAAGAATGCCCCACCAAGAAGATTTCATTTGATGACTGTCAAATCCATGGGTCATTTAGTGAGCACTTACTATTTATGCTACAAGTTGTGCTCTCATAAATCCTGTTCTGGCCTTTATGAGGCTCATAGTAAGTATAAAGGAGGAAACAGATACATGGCTCTACCATGACATTTATGTGTCAGTTTTAAACACAGAGAGATAAGAGCAGGTTGCTGGGCTCTGAGAAACTCTAGACTGAGGTAGGAAGGAGGGACTGGTTTGCACTTCTTAGGGGTGGAATTGCTGCGGTTCCTTGGCGCACAGTGGGGGACTCTCCATGGATAGGTACTGTGGGAACATTGAGGAAACCAACTCACTGCAGGTACCTGCACGGCTGAAATTCTCTGCCAGGTTATCAGCTGGCCCCAGTGCTAAGGTGGGCCTGGTAAAGTCTTGTTGCTGGATAGTCAGGATCATATTCACACTGTTTTGGTTAGTTTTGCTTGTCATTCACACCCACTTGTGAGCTCTCCATGCTACCTCCAGCTTCAGGTTAGTAGATTTCCATAAGTACCTGTCTCTTCTGCTTGTGAGGTGTGGAGGCTGGCCAGGCACATGAGCTGTGTGCCTCTGGGTATGGGGGGTTGCTGCAAAGCTACATGCTATGGGCTGGCTCAGCGTGGGCACCACCTGCTAGGATTTCATAACAGCTCTCTTTTGGGTTTTGACTTCCACATGGGTCATGGTAGGAGAAGTTCAGCAACATCCTTCAGGAAGGAACTGGAGTAGGACAGGTGTTCTGAGGTTTGTTCTCCTGTGGGATCTTTTCTCAAGAGGTTGTTTAGGTTTTGTTTCAATGATTGTCAGCTGGGTGATTCTGAGCACGCCTGCTTCTCTATGCCTCAATGTCCTCATCAGTAAAATGGGATTCTATGTCACTGGGCTAAAGGAAAGAACTAATAGAAGACAATGCACACAATGCTAATTGCATAGTGAGAGCTAAATATATGAAATTTTAAAAATTATTCAATATAGTGATACCTACCCCCAACTTGTTTAAGTACTGTGTATATTCCTCACACTCTACTATCAACTTTCCAAGAATATTTCACTCATTAAAGAAACTTGGATTGATGATAATTGTTTTAAAATAGGAGTTCTAACTTAGCTTATTCAAACTCTTTTAAGAGAAATTAGACTCACAATGAATTATGTTTTAAGTGCTTTGGATAGGCTATCAACATTATATAGAAAATATATTTAAAGCATATTATACTTACTTTGAGTATCATCCCCAAGTCAAATTTTGAATTTAACTTGTAGGAAAATCAGACAAAGCATTGTTAAACAAGTGACTACTAACTTCATCCATGCAATCTACAGAATGCAGTTAAGCATCTCATTCTGTAAGTGTACAGTTGCAGATGCTTGGCTTCTTTCTTACTACTTTTTCCAGCATTTTCTGCGGAATAAAAAATAAAGTCTTTGGCACTAAAGTGGTCACTGTTCAAGTTCACAAAGCATGTGGTAGTTAATCATCAGCTGCTTTGCCCTTTTCATAGGCAATAAAGGATATCATTGTTTATAGTTCATCTCCCCTTCTTTCCGTTCCCCAAATACTGATGTAAAAGTTCAGAAACACAAGAACTGAATTGTTAAGGCTTCGAGGTTAGTATGGCAGCCTAGGATTAGAATGTAAGTGTCCTGAAGGTGGGGAGACATGCCCTCTGTTTCATGCAGAAGGTGCTCCTTATGTGAGGACCAGTTGGAAGAGGACTGACATGCCCAGGGGGTGAGCCTGCCTGATTTCTGTGTCATAGCACCTCTCGCTCTTGTAGCCAAACCAAGTGCTGTGAATGCACAAAAGGTCCAGCAAGCTAAGAGGCCTGTTAGTAGCCCTAAGATACCAGAATATCAGCCTGACCTAGAAAAAAGTTTAATGTAATTTCCTAACCTTTACTGTGAATGCCAGTGTGTTAACAGTGGGGCAGGACAAAAATAGACCTTCTAGTTCACTGCAGCTCATCCTTATGGCCTTGTAGGGCAAAGAGGCTTCTATTGAAGCCATTTAGCTTGCGAATGTCCCTGTGCTGTATGGGTTACAGTTGGGTAGTGTGATCGATTGGCTTATCATCAAGGAAATGGCATCAGCCATCACCTGGGTCAGTGAGTTTTGTTCTGCTCTCTGGGTAGAGAAATTGATACATTTATTTCAAAATTCTGTATTGCTTGCCATAGGCTTTTGACCCAGCAAATATATATGACTAACCTAAGTTGGGCCAGAGACCAGTGTATTGTTCCTTTGAAGGTAGAACAACTCAAGCCCACTGACACTGGGGGAGTAGGAAATGGAGTAGCCTGGCCTCAAACTTGAGGGGTTCCCACAGGGTCGATAGTCCTGAAGTAGGGGCAGCAGGAAGTTCACTACTTCTCATGGAGGACTGTCACTTTTTAGGCCATGAAAGCATGTGGATGGTGCACAATGGGTAGAACATCCAAGTGGATGAACTAATGGATGATTGCAAACACTCAAACAGAGTAAAACAGCAGAGGTACCTGTTGTTGCTTATCATTATATCATTGCAATCAGTACAGCACATGGCAAGCCTGTCACTCTGTTTAATTTCATCAGTTTCATTCAGTATGCATTTGGCCTGAAAGAACAGAGAAGAAAGCTAAGATTTCATTATACAAAGTCCATTTGGCCAAACTTGGGCCTTTTGACATTCAGCTGAACTTGGAGCCAAGCCTTTCCGTTATTGTAACTTCTTGCCCACTCCTGGGAGAGGTGTTCAGATATGTTTTCAGAACTTGAAACTAGCCAATGCCCTGAGCAACTGCAATTAGAATTGGAGAAATTTAAAACCTGGGTCTAAATAATAACGTGACCACGAAAAGAACAAATAAACCAATCCAACAGCATTCTGCTCAATGGTCTGAAAAAGGCCCTGTTGGAGTCAAAGGTGACTGTTTAGGCCTCCTGGGGTCCGAACACACAATTTAAGATGGAATTTGCAGGGCTTGAGACCAGTGACTCACTGAGTTGAGAGGGTACAGGAGAGGGTACTCTGGGGCAAGTCTGTGATTGTCCCACCAAGTTCCTGCTTCCTTCTTGTCCTGAGCTACCCACTGCCAGGCCTCTTCTGCGTGCCCTGCTGACACTGTGCAGGCTCTGGTTTCCCTTGTGGAAGGAAGCCATGCAGCATGGATGTGGCTTGGAGACCCAGGCAACCAAACAAAACCTCTGTGTAGGGACAGCCTGCCTCGTGTTGCCTAGGGCAGGCTGCAGATATCAGGGAAAAAGGATCTGCCATGGTCAATGGTGACAAAAGCTGCCCAGTGTTGCCAGCAAACCTCTTTTTCTCCCTTTGAAACACACACACACACACACACACACACACACACACACCTTTCTTTAAAGTCTTGCTGGGTACAGTCTTCATGAAGCACACATTTTCTTTGTTAACAAAAACACATTGCCAGGGCAGGGTTTTCCTTTGCACTGTTGACAGTTTCATCTTTATTCTTGTGTTTGGTTTCTGACACCACGTATTTTTCCTTCCCTTTTGGTTTTGGCATCTCTGGTGTTTTCTTCTTTTTATCTGTCTCTCTCTGCTCCCTGCCTGTCCTTCACCAGGCCTACCCTTAGGTTCCAGTCAGCTGGCTGGCTTGCTTTCCTTGTGGATTTCATTAAGAATACAAGTTTGAGTTTCAGACTTTTAAAGGTTTCCTATGTGCTAGCCTTTCCCCCCTCTGTTTTATTATCAATGTCACCCTTTATTGCCATCTTTTAAGTGTTCCCTTTTTCTCCCAGACAAGAAAAGAGCAGTTTTGTTTGGGGGGCACTGTACCCTTTCTCCAAGGGGCTCTATCTGTATGTGCGTTGATTGTCTAAACAACTCATGATTGTGTGGATGTGTGCATGCGTGCGCGCGTACACACACACACACACACACACACACACACACACACACACACACATTTTTCCTTGACTAATTGGCCATAGTTATCCTGGGAGTTTCTGTGGCTCTTAGAGGCCAGTACAATTGAATTGGCACTTTGGGACTCTTAAACTGAGCACATTTAAAAGGCTGATTTAGAGGGAGCTTCGACAAAGGCTCTTTTAATTATTTTTTCCCCTGCTTTGCCAGTGTTCACTGCTGTGGCTGCTCAGAGGCCGGTCCCTGAGTCATTAGGGGGCCAAGCCATTATGAGTTCCTGCTTACTCTGCAAATATAACAGGCTTATCACGTAGAACTCTGTCTCCAGCTGGTTTAAAATGTAGGTGGTGCCAGTGGGTAGCAGCTGTTATAGGCTGGGGAGCCAGGAGATGTGGGGACGTTGCATGGTGCGAGGAGGTCAAGCAGAGCACTCTGCAGAGTCTCTCTCCCTGCCTCTCTCACACCCTGTGGCTGAGCATTCAGAAGAGTACCCTGCCTCCCCCAGGCCCTCGGATGCTACCCGCCCCTTGCCAGCCAGATCCTAGGCAAGCTCAGGGCTGGCTTTCAACATGTGGGGCCAAAACACTTAGTCACATTGCAAATAATAATAATTCATACATTTGTAATTCAAATAGGCATGGTTATGCATAATTCAAGTGAAAAGTTGTTATTAGGAATGAGGGGGGATGTGGATTCATTTCAGAGATCTTGTTTTTAAATTTCAAATTATTATTTTCCTCGGGTTTCAAGGCTGGGGCAGCTTTATTTTTGCAGCTGTTTTATCCGAATTGGCTCTGGCCTCAACGGCTTTGTGGCAGCACTGATCAGATAGGGCAGAGCTATGGTCGGGACATCTCACTGAATAACAGATACTGACTGTGTTCTCACTCTGAGAACTGAGGTTAACGTACATTCTGTTGTTCTCTGGGGGCTTTGCTGGTGTCCTGCCCCAACTGTGCTAATAGATTTAAAAAAACCATTTCATTATGAAGCATTTCAAACATCCACAAAAATTAGAAACTAGTATAGAGAGTATTTATGTACCAACAACCAGTGATAGCAATTTTTAAGACATCCTCTCCCATCCCATTGATTATTTGAAGTTCCACATTGTAAATATCATTTGCATGGTGGCAGATTTTCTTGACTTTTAGGAAGAATGACTAATATTTTACCCATGGCCCAGAGAAGATTCCTCACGGGGACCGCATGTGGGGGCAGTTGGAGTTTCATGGAAGAGGTGGGCAAGTTGCAGAGTGACTTCTCTTCCAGTGACATCATAGAGGAAGCCAGTCCCTTGAAGGAATGCCCTCAAGTGCCTCCTCTCCCCTGGAGCCCTCCGCCAGTGGCCTGGCATCACGAGAATGTGCCGTGTCTGCGTGTGGGTGGTAACATGATGCTTTTTCTCCTGGGGCCCATATCAAGTGTTTTGGTCTCCCAGACTTGCCTATGGCTGGGACACCAAGGAGCCAGATTTTCAGGCAACCTTCACTCTTTTCACAGTTTCAAAATGTAGTAGACTATAAAAGTTAGGGTGATCAGAGTTTCTTGGAGTAAAGAATGCAATTATAAAAAAGTGACCATCACAAGCACCACAATTGATAATCCTTTTAGTCACTAATAAGGAAAGGCTGAAGAATTTGTTTACTCTTCCCACCTTCTGTACCTCAGGTGACATAGGGAAAAAACTCTAATTCCAGTAATAAAGGCGGTATATAAGAGGTGACCCTTCCTTTCCATAATATATATGTTCCTGAAAAACTATGTATATAATTTCACTTTTGGAAAGGGAGTATAAGTAATTTCTGTTGAATCTGGAGTTCCTCAAAAGGATTTCAGAATAAACTTACTTCAGAAACAATTGTTTAAAAAAGTGAACAAATACTGTATTCATCCATCCACCCATCAATCCATCAAATCCTCTTAAATCTTAAACATTTCAATTTGTACATTTTATAAATTTGGATTTGAGTGCATCCAGCATTGTCTAGCTAGCATTTTGCTTTCTAAACAATGGTATCACGGGGCTGGGGATTTAGTTCAGCGGCACAGAGCCTGCCTGGCAAGTGCAAGGTCATGAGTTCAATTCCCGGTACCAGAAAACAAAACAAAACCAAAAAACAATGGTATCATGAAACTCTAAGTGAAGTCAGTGCAAATACATTGATATTAGGAAGCACAGGGGTCTTGCATTTGTTTTTACAGTTACTGTCTTTCAATAAATGGTGTTAAGAGAACTGGCATTGCTCTTTGGTGGGATGGGAAGGGTCCAAAGACGTGTCTGTCTTCACAGTTCTCTGCTTTCTGCCTTGTTCCACAGGAGTCTGAATTAAGATAAAAATAATTTTTACCTGGAAAAGGCAGCAAATATTATTGTAGATTCCTAAGAGCCAATCGTCGGAAGTAAGCACATCAGCATCCTTCAGCAGGGATGGAGGGAGGGGGACTGGTCACAGAGCTGGGGTGAAGAGGATTATGGCTGCCAATTATGGTGCTCACGCTTGCTTACTCCATCGTTACCCTCTCACATGCACACCTGGGGATGGACAGGACCACATCTTCTGGAGTATTTGAAGAATGGGAACAGAGTACCCTCACTCACCCTTACCCTTGCATTTGAATTCTTGCTCATTCCACAGCCAAGCCTCTCCAGGAGCTGTTTCCTGTGTCCTGTAAAGGCAGGCCTGCTCCAAAGCCACGTCCCCATGCTGCCCAAAACAGCGATCTCCATGTTAGATCGTAGAACTTGAAATCCTCTCGTCCATCTTGTTGGATCTAAGCCTGATTTAATGAGAACCGCTGTAAGCTCCTTGTGGTTGCTGTTCTTTTGTACTTTTTGGCAGCTTGGTTCCTTGTTTCAGCTTCGGGGTTTCAGTCAGAAAAGGCCTCAGTAGGACTCAAGTCCCTGTTACTTCAGCAGCCACCCTGGGCCCAGTGCCTGCTTATTTCCCTGTTTATCCTTCCCGAACTTTCTAAAGGCTTTGATCTTGGATTCTTAGCTGTTCATATTGTTTTTGGAATACTTGAAATGGTCCATTTCCCCCCAGTTCTTAAGCAGTGAGACTACCTAACAGCACAGTGTACTTTTTATTCACAGGTTCCAGTAAGAAGAATGGCCTGCTTTTTGCTGACTTCCTGGTGACTTTTAATAGGAGGAGTTTATTTGGAGCCCACCCAGTTTAAAAAATGTGATGCTTGTTGTCAGCTATGGGACAAGTAAAATTTGTATTAATATTCTAATAGTGTGATTGATTCACAAGAGGGGCAGAAACCCCAAGGGAGGTCCCCGAATACTTTGTCACCGGTCTCTGTCTGAGACAGGGTCATATGCCAGATGTTTGCCTTGTTTTGTATGCTGCATGGTATCCCATGGGTCATGTCAAAGAACTTTGGACTACATCTGGAATTTGGCAAATTCCAAAAAATTTCCCTTTGATATTGAATTCCATCTTCTTTTCATTAATAAATGTATATTCTTTTTCATTTTAGTTTTCCAATGTACAAATTGAATTTGGTTATGGTAAAGCTTTAAAACACAAATGGATTCTGATGGCCTAGAAGTAACTTCTCAGGTTGGTGTTTCTGATTTTTCAAAGATTTGTGTCTCTACTGCTTGCTTTTGGAATAACTACAAATTCTGTTATTTGGCATGGAAATCCCAGAGAGCAGCGACGATGTCTTTGTCTTGTTGTTCTTCTATCTGGCTCTCACGTATGTAGCAAAGTAAAGTTATAAATCTATTTTAGTTGAAAATGTGAGCTTTAAAAAATATTAATGAAAATTATAAGCACTTGACCAAAACACAAATTCTAGAAAGAGACCAATTAACCCCAACATCTTTCATATACATAGAACTAAAAACTAGCCAGAAAGCAACATACACTATCAATTACACTGACACATTCTAAAAAATATGTATGTAGGAGAAATACCTTAATTCCTTTGTCAGTTCTCCTTTTTTATTTTTCAAGAGTCTGCTTGACTCCCTCATAAAGGTATGTAGGGCAGCATTAATCTATGTATCAACGTGTCCATGATTTAAAAGGCAAAGCAAGGACTATTCTTACTCTGCCACTTTAGGACTAGTTTCTTCCTGTTGCTTTTTTGTTCTTGGACACATTTGTGTTCTCTCTCCCCGTTGTGGCACTGTGGGCTGGCAAGCTTCCCTGGACAGGTACCAGACTCTAGCAGGAGGAGTATTTCCTTCATGTAATTTCAATGGGAACTGCAGTAAGTGGTACGGTGAGTTAGCCCTACACCAAGGATCACCAGGAGCAAAAGGAAAATGGGATCTGTCATTTCAGAGTTCACCCCAGAAGCCACTGACATATATGTGAGCACTGACAATATACATGGGAGAATTGATGGGAAAGATTCATGCAATTTGATTTCATCCAGGAAAAAATTTTTGATGTTTCAGAGGATAAAATTAATAAAATTTTGCTAAAAATAGCGTACCTTTTTCTTAAAAGGGAGACTTTGGCTCTCTTCCAAAATGATTGTGTCACCGTGTGTAAGATAATACTTAAATGCAATTAGCTCCTTGTACTGTCCAAAGTGTGTGCCAGAAATACATGGCTACATCTTGTTCATTATCACCTTGCCCAGCGTGTGGGCTGCCATCAACATCATTTTCTTCCAAGGTCAGCTGTCGTTACTGTGCTGAGAACTGTCTAGGTATATTTAACTTTGGAGATGGGTCCAGCATGCCACTTTAAAAGATGATCGTATTGTTTTTCCTGCTTTCCATTTCTGAAAAGGCGAGGCTTTGGCCAGTGGGTACTCTACATATCTGGCTGCAAATAGGTTACCAGGAGCCAAGCAATGTGGTGCCTAATTTCAGCATTCACTTAAGGAAAATTATTTATGACAGTCTCTACATGTTTTTTTCCTCCTTTTCCTAAAGGAAGAGATGCATAATCTCAGCTGGATTGAAGGAATATTTGCATTCAGCCTCAGCTATGGATGCATTTAAAATGTCTTTGAAAGTTTAAACTAGGTATGGTATATAAAAATTTAAATAAATGTCCAGGCAATGGAAAGCAGTCATTAAGGAGATCACTAAATCAAGTTCTCAAATGATAAAATAGCTGAGCACTTTTCCACCTTAGCAGCTGAAGCAACACTGAAAAGCTCTCTAAAACAATAGAAGTCATCAGCCTGTATCAGGCATTGAACTATCCAAAGCACAGAAAACCTGGATAATGGCGATCTTAGTAGGGGGAGTTGTCATTTCCATCTGGCCAGCTTTGTGTTACAGACTGAAATATTCTCCAGTGGCTTAGGATGTGGCAGGGAATTCTATTCATACTTTATCAAATGGCAAGGCAATGAATGAACAGCAAGAAACCCAGATGCCAGTTTGGAAACCAGTGTACATTCAACATTATCACATGTCAGAGCCCGACAAAGCGCACAGATTGGTTATTTCAATTTCTCTTTAGCAGCAAAGATTCTGCAAATTGAAACAAACTGAAGGAAGTACAGGAAAAGGTCATGAGAGTAGTTGTCCTCACTGGTAAGTCAGGAAGCTCTGAGAACCGAATTCCACAACAGAAACTTAAAACAAGCTCCAATGTCTATGGAAAAACAGAGCTAATGAATCCCTCATTTTATTACTCAGAAAGCTTTTTTTCATGAGGAAACAGTCCTTTTGATATTAATAAGATGGTCCTTTGAGTACATTTCATGTTGTGTACTTTTTGTTGCTTAACAAAAAAAAAAAATTATGCTTGATCTTGGCTCAGAAAATGAATTTGATGCAGGAGATATAGAAGAGGGTATTGGTCCCAACATAACAGAAAGATGGATTTATATTGCTCTCAATCTTCTGGTTAAATTTCATAATAATTAATTAACAATTAGTAATTCTTATTAGATGTGATACGAATTATTTAGCTAAAATGATTCTAGCAAAATGGCTTTTCTAACTGCCCAGAAACTGCCCGGAGG